TGGCGCTATTGTTGTTACTCCTAGGTTCACGTCGACTAGTCTGACAAGGGCGCTCTCCGGTGCGTCCAGAGAGATCTCGGAAAATGAGAACCTCAACCGACTGTTACTGTATCATCGTGTCCAGCTAATCAAGTAGGAGAAAAAAGAAGGCCTAATCCACTCTCGCCTCAGTGTAATTCCTACTGAACATCACCTCGCTAGTATCTGGTGGCTGTTTATCGTGCTTGTTCTGTTTAGCATGTATGGACTACTAAGCTGTTGGGCTATCTGCTGTGTACTAGCGTAACCTGGAGGGCAAGTATAATAAGTGCGGTCACACAGCAGCATCTGCGCATTCCGAGACGCAGAAGTGGTAAAATGGATGAGGCCGTTATAAATATTCAAGGTAACAAGATGGCTGGGATGAATAAATATATGTATTAGGTTCATCTTGCGATTGGAAGTTTGGAGGCCTCTACTCATTCAGATACACCAGAAGATGATGAGTCGAGAGACAGAGCGTGGAGGTAAAATGCTATAGCTGTGGCCTGGAACAATACCGTTAAATGCTGTTGACTAAATGTATGACCACCTCCTTGGGGACGTAGTAAGCTTTAAAAAGGCTGTTAAGAATCGATGAAGGTCTAAATCACATATTCCTTAGATATCGCAAGATATGATTATTAAGGAAATTGATTTATTCTGTCAGTAGTTGGGCTATTGGGAGGAACCCTTATTGCCGGCACAAGGACGAAGGAGCTTTTGGGACAAAGAGGTTACCTGTCTATGTATACGATAATTCCAATAGTTTATCTACGCTTTCTTTGCGCGATGATAGAATCGTTAACCCCTCTATATGGTTGGTCTCATGAGGCATTCTGTGGTTAGTAGTTCTCGAGTCGATTTTCATGTGATTGTGATGATGTCCTTGAATCTACCTAGGTAGAAATTGCAGCAGGGAACCGGATTGCGGGCTGGCTTACCTTTCCTGCCGGTCGCGGGGATGCCCCTATTGAATACTTTGTCTCTTCTAGATTTGGCCTCCGGCATAGCCCTACCGCGCCGCAACGATCGCGAGGTTTGGGTACTTAACCGGCCATATGTCATAAAAATGGCTCACGGCGGCTTTGGAGTTACTGATGCCTAGGCACCAAGTAACTAGAAAAGAAGTCACTTTTTACAACGGACCGAATCAATTTATTCCAATATCTAGAAGGATAGTCATCAGATCCTATACACGCGACGTGTGTGTAATCTTTGGCACAATGCAAAACTGGTATTGCGGAAACTATTTTTTGCTTTTACTAGATACCTTTGCATATTTCCATTTAGTTACGAGCTCTACGGTTTACTATCCGCTGGCCTGGTTGCCGTGGATGAGCTTGCTTAGCCGATGATGCTCGCTATTGAGCACACGTATATATTGACCATCTGCCCAGCTATCTATGTCTCTAATGTTCAGGGGTATGTCGGTCAATGACCATAATATTTCCTCCATTACCGGCCGCTAACGCGAGTGATAAATAAATTCGTAGACCAGCTGGGACTGACGGCCGCGCCGATGTTAAAGCAATGTAAAAATTATAATAAGGAATTTAATTTACTCTCACATGCGCCAACGATATCTACGTGGGATTTCATTGAAACTTTGGCACCCCATTTGCCGACATTCTCAAAACACTCTTCCCTGAGCCAACTAGCCATATTTTTAGCATAGTTGGTACCGTAACCGGCGGTGGTGGCCCATGCATCGTGTATAGCGGAACTGTGTGCCGTCCTGGTCACGTCCATATCTACGAGCTGCATCCAGCCACCGGGATTAACTAACTAGCATAGGTAGCGTAAAGTTTCGCGCGGAGTGGCCTTCTTGGCTCCTCTCAGGGTCGTGGATCGCAAAATTGTATGAGGTGGAAAGTAGTAGTTGAAAACTGCGCAGAAAGAGACCATCGGCTGTTCCCAAGTTTGATCGACCGGTGCGAGGATGCGTCTGTTTTCTCCGCCAAATACGTTAAAATTTTTCGGTTCTGGAGGTAGATATTGGGGTTCTTCTGGTATGGTTGTTATATAGAGTGTGCTTGGGCTATTGGAAGTTGGCGGCTAACTGGGCTGTGGGAATCCTGGGTGAGGGTCAAAATATTAGGGAGAAGGAAAAACTCCTTGTTAAGACTCAGGCGCCTAGGTACCTTGGGCGGCACGGAGTTGGTTATCATCCCTTTCGGAGACATTGTCTCACGCTGTGTCACCCATCTTATACGTATTTCTTAGGTACCTCGGCACTTAGTGGTATTCCAATTACGGCATATAGGGTAGCACAGCAGCTAAGTTGAGATCCCAAAGGACAAACAATATAACATCCGGGTCAACCAGGCTTGAGAGGTCCCGCGTAGCGGGGCTGAGCTCCCTACCACCCACTTGGCACAACCAGACAGTGAATTTATTGAAGTTATTTCTTCACTCGAAAGTCCTATCTTGGTTGAACCCCGTGCATATCAATACTGGCATTGGGGTCTCCCGAATGTTAAAATCGAAGGGTTACCTTCGGGGTGACTACAGGATTTCTCAATGAATTAAGCGTTTTTGTGGCAGTCAATGGTCAATTTGTAGTTGAATTCCTTTGTGGTATACTGGAGCAATACATCAAAGTATTCCGGATTGCTACGCCGTGCATCCCCGTAAAGGCGGCCCCTATGCTATTTCATTGGTTAACTCGCCTGCCTTATAAAGCGGCTGTGATATGACCCCACAATGTATTATTTAGTTCACAGTGTGTGAGCCCAGATTAGTTACTGAGAATCTACAACCTATTCTCCACCATAACCATTGTTGTTTTACAGCGGCGCTTGAATCCATTTCCTCAGTTTAGTGACCTAAGGTATGATTAACGATGCGATCGCTCGACGGATTTCGTGGCGTTGTTTTTCTTTTTATACCCTATTTACGTCCTAGACCTCGTCGCTATTCCTTATTTCCTCAGCTCAAAACATAGAAAGGCTACTACTTAGAAATATCAGTACAATTGACTGATTAGGAGGTCGCCGTTTCACACGACGTTACCTAGCAAGTCAAATATCCTAAACGCCCCTTTTCTTTCCGTCGTCACAATACTTCAATTAGCAACCTTGGAAGAGTGCTGCCATTAGCAATTGGGACTATTGGCATGATTCTTACGATGTTTTAGGAAATTTACTACGCATACACCTATTTTCCCGAAAGGCTTTCTTGGGGCTAGTGATTAATACGCTACATTATCCTAGTACCGTTCTATTCCATGTCTTGACTCCTGGTTATAAGCAGCCCCCACCCACTGGTGCGGGCTGGTTCTCTTACGCCTGAGGCTGCTCCGTGCGAGTAATGAAAGTTAGTCGCGTCGAGCGCGATAGTGACACAATTTCGCAACGGGTAGCATTGTCTCTCGCCGCCATCATCGTCGAGCGCCTGATGACGCGGCTAAAAAAGCATCCGCGATGTTATGCGAGTTGGTTGACTACGTCCATGTAATACACTTGATAAATCAGCAGCGGGGCACTAGTCTGCGTTATCGCGTAGAAGTTTGCCACCCAAGCCTTATGCACCTGGCGACGATGACGCAGCAGCAGCGGTGTATATATTTATGTGGTAGTCTGATATGGTCATTTGTGTTATCATCATTTCCGCGACTTGCCGGAGTGCGATGAAGTTGAAGTTTGGATGGGACAGGCTGGCGACCGACTACGCCGAAGGCTACATCTCACCGCCACATAATCTCCCCGAGTATCCTTTCCGGGATGCTACTTACAAGTTCGGGTTTCAAATTCTGGTTGCCATCTGATACGCATCTCGGTTATCGCCTTCGTATGCCTCTTTTGACGCCTATATGAACAGGAAGCTTGAAACTGAACGTCGTATAGATAGCGACGGCATGACGAGGCCCTAGGATAATATGGCACCTGGTAAAGAGGTAAGCAGAAGGGTTGGCGTTTGTGTGAGGGCCGATCATGATCTTGGAGGAATTAGGATTGAATATTAGGGGGTTTCTCTCATATTCCTTACCTGAATGGGTACTCGCTTGGGTTCAACCTAGAGATTGGTTATTATGCTGTATTTCTTTGTATTTACTTCCTTCCTTAACTGGAAGAGGTATGGGATATTTTAGGTCTAAAAATAGGGGGGGGGGCATGCAATAACTCATTATGAGAACACTCAGTCATCATTCTCACGATCATAGCTGGTGGTGATGATAGTCAACTATAACGTCATAAAATTTAGTAAGATGGTTTGAGTATAGGGTAGGTGAGGATGGAGGACAAGTTTGTGGCTGGCTGAGGAGGGCCGAAATATCGGAGATAATGCAATCGATGGACTCTTGGGACTAGTTCTCTGCTTTCACCTGACATGGAGGCGCCGGGGACGCATAATAATTAGGTGGTGATATGGTGGTTAACGTCCGTTATCACAAGGGCGTTCCGTAAGTAATTCAAAACCAGCGCTACTTATTATCATGCCGCACAACTTATCTAGCCCCGTGATCCATCTATAGCATGGAAGCGGAAAGGCTAACCAGATACCACATTCTCCCCGGCGGGTGTCCGTTGCTCTAGGCTATCGCATGGGTAATTGTCTCTTATCTGGCCCCCCGTGAGCATACATAGGTATAGTAGTGGCTGAGCTAGTCTATCTTAGAATGAGCATAGATTGAGCGTGAAGGTGGAATGTTCTTAACTCCTACGGGCTGTAGAATTTACGATAGAATGTATTATACTTGTAGAGTATGTCAAGTCAGAAGTTGAGGTGAAGGAAGGGATAAGGAGGGCTCTAGTAGGTCGAATTTTCGGTATTACGGATTACGGCAGTTGCGTGTAGTATTTAAGGATCACACCCCTTGGGGTCAGCTTGATCTCTTTTCTCCCTAATCCAACATTCATCTTATCACATTTAATCTAGGATATAAATACCACCATTTTGTTCCTTGGGTCTTTTCTTTTTCTAGTTATTATTACCGATAGTAACCATAATTGTCCTATGCTGGGATAGAAAATATCACAATGTTGCAACATCTTTCAGTAAAGCAGAACTCAACTAGTCGGCCATTGAGAAATCTGGAAACATTTTTCAAGGTATTGGCAGATGTTGGTAAACCTTTACGCCGCGAACACTGGACCATTCATATGACGTTGCATCTTGCGTTCCCAGCTTCCGTATCCGATCCCACGGCATACCTACGACGTGCGTGGCAGGTTCTTCACTATCAGCACCCAGCATTAGGAGCTGTAACGAGCCAAAATAATAGCACGGCATATATAACGGTGGAAAAGCTGGATGAAGACGTTTGGGCCAACAACACATTTACCGTATACCCCGACTACAAGGGTACTGAGGAGCTGTTTTCATGCCTTTATCCCACTGCCACTGCTACTTGCTATTGGCTACCTACGCCATCAAAGTTGGTGATTCGTTCATCTCACTGGCGAATTGATGGGGTTGGCATGGCTATGCTGAGCCACGACTTCATGGTGGCATTGGCCGCGGTTTTACGGTTGGGGCATGACGCTTCCTTGGACTCTTTGATGCCCGGCCTCGAACATCGCCATCCGCTTGCACCAAGCCTTGAGGAACTAGCGCTGGCCCAGTCTAGGTTTCCAAAACTTCCTAAAGGTGAAGAAAATCCCATCTTGGCGACGGGTGCCGATAATCTGGTAGCGAGGTTCTTGCGCGGTGTACCGAGCATTGGATTACCGACTCGACCGAACTCGGAACAATCCAATCCTGGCGCCAGTGGGTGTGCAGTGACCCACCTCGATGCGGTAACGACGGTAAAGATAAGAGCAGCATGTCGCAACAAGAATATTAAAGTTACAAGCGCTATACATGCGGCTATCATCCGCGTTACTTCCACCTTTCCTCAACACCCGCTGTCCAAGTCGTACGCAGCGTTCGTGCCTATCGACCTACGGCGAGCACTTGATATCACTGCCAGTTCGGAGGTCAAAACCCTGTCAAAAGTTGTTGGGCTATATTTCTCGGGTCTGCCTGTGTGCGTTGACTCTGTTCTTCCCGGGGCGACCAATAATACTAAAACCTTCGAGGACGTCGCAAGGGATCTAGATGCTGTCTACGGTAGTGATATTCTTCAGTTCTGGGGGCCAGACCATGAGAATACCGAAAGAATTGGTTTGCTCGATCTAGTAGAACCGTACGTGCGACGCACTACAGCTCTATTCGGCGCTCACATACCTGAAGGTTTCCCACCTGTACAGACTCCAGATCTAAGCACACTTGGTAAGGTCGATATGTACCTGCAAAAGTATTATGATGCTGGTGAGCATGAGAATGTGGAGGTGATTGATTTCTGGCTTGGAACTGAGATGCTAAATAGGAGCGTCCAGTTCCATACTTGGAGTTGGAAAGACGAGTTTAACCTTGGAGCATGTTTCAATCTCAGCTTCTACGACAATGAGTTTATCATCGATGTCCTTAACAAGGTGATTGACGGACTTCTGGTGGGATGTGGAATAAGCAAATAGTATAGGGATAGCTTCTTATTCAGACATATACCTAGGTACAATCCGCCCATGTCAATCAGAATCCATGGGTATTTTTATTTTATATCTGTGCTCCTGGCTACATCCTCCCAATCATCACAAATATTTACCATACCTTCACACTTGGCTCTAATTCTAGACCACCCGTCACTTCCCAGCGGCACCCGTAACGGGACTTGTTTCCCCGCAGCAACACCAGTCCCCTTTACCAAATCAATCATGATCGCGACACCCTTTTCAGCATTACCAGGCTCTTTACCTACGGTACCTTGTTCTACTTTGCGGACGGCGGCGTTGAATTTGGCGTATTCTGGTACACGGGGAGGGACATGATTGATATTACCAAAAGCGCGAGTACGGAAGTATCCTGGCTCGATGGTTAAAACCTTCAAGCCAGGCGCGAATATTGCCAGTTCATGGGCGAGACATTCAACAGCGCCTAGTTAGAGGTCAGTGGCTGTTCTTTCTTTCTTTCTTTTTTTTTTTTTTTTTTTTTTTTTTTGATTTTCTTCCGATTCTTAATAAGGAGGGGGATAGGGGGAAGGTGTGTACCTTCGAGAGCAAATTTGCTCCCACAATATCCAGCAGCACCAGGATCGGCGTGCCAACCTGCTTGGGAACTAATATAAAGGAGTGTACCGGTGCCTTTAGCGCGGAGTTTAGGAAGTAGAGATCTAGTAATATTTAAAGGACCATGAAAGTTCGTCTTCATGACTTGCTCCATTTCTTCCGGGCTGATGGTACATGAATTAGCCAAACTAACTAGACTCGATCGGAAGAATCTGGCGCAATGAAGTTACAACTTACGTTATCTCCTCAATTGCACCACTCAGAATGTAACCAGCGTTGTTGACAACCACATCAATACCCCCGGGGTATATGTTCCACGCATCGGTTAATATGGCGTCTATCTCATTTGGAGGTGCTGAGACGTCTAGATTCAGAATACTAGCGCCGGTGTCCTTGAGATGGGCGAGTTTGGTGTCTGCATTGCGTCCGGTTGCAATGACGTTGTGCCCCAAGGCTAGGAGTTGCCGAACAAATAGTTCGCCGAACCCGCTGGAACAACCGGTAACTAACCAAGTATTGAAAGGGGAAGCCATATTCGCCTAGAAAAGTCAAGGTAGGGAGCCTGAGTGATAATTGGAATGAGTAGCTAGAATCTGTCTATTCCGGGCTAATACGGGATTATACTTGTACGTCAACCCGACCTGGAGGTTTGCCTGCCGAGCTGATCTTTTCTTGGATCGTTCCAAAGCATTGGTAATACAAGATTCTTGGCGCATATGCGGTGAGGTGAGAATCCCCGGTGCTAGAGACACCCCACGGACGGAATTAGTAAGGTACCTATGGTATTTATGTTACACGAGCTACAATATATGCTACCAACGCCAACATCACATGGGTGTGTTAATTTGGGATGTCTTTGATTGGAAAAACAACAGCAGCAGCCTACATGATTCCATACAAACTCAGGCCAATAGGCGCCTAGACGGGCACCTTGGTAAGCGCAATGATTTATAATTCCGACCATCCTCGGATCTTGTCTACCCCTGCTGAACCCCCCTTCTCCCCTCCCCCCACATAATGGTAGCGAATATAGTATAGCAATTTCATAACCACCGTATTTAAAAGCGCCAACCATGCAGAAGGCACTACCTAACAGAGGATCAATCAAGCCACTGACTAAATGATGATGGGAACAGCAACGCTCCAACGCCCCATATAGAAGTGGTATTGTCTTGAACCCACGCTTTTCACCCTAAACTAGATCTGAGAAATCTTGTATGCACGGTCAATATCATGTCCGCGGCTGGTTTGAGATATTCTCGATCGACAGGTGTACCCATACTCAAACTGCCCTATTTGGTATTTGTAGCGTTGTACTTTGAATACTATGCTACTGTGTACTGAAGAGCTTCATTGCGAGTGCGAATGGACTTTGAGGCGGCATAACGGCCTTGACATCGTTTCTTGTGGATAGTAATAGCGCAGTGAGGTAAAACTGAATCTTGTGGACTATCTGCTTCTCCTATAAGTCGTATTTCTTGCTACATTGTAGATGGCACATGATCTTGACTGGTCGGGTAGTTTTCTTGCCTAGATACGTTAACATGTGACGAAAACATCAAATAATTGAAACAAAATGAAGATATCGCCTTAACAAGCCGTTATAGTGGAGGGAAGCATGTTATATATTTCATTGATCCTTATTTACTACAAATTGCCAGTCTAATAGGTTAATACTTATCATGAGTACCTTAACATAGCGAACAATAATACCTCCCGTTACACAATCGCTTTTGTCAAACGTAGCATACTCAGTCTCTATAGAAGCATTTTCACTTCGAAATGATTCCATTACTACCTTGGGGATATCACCGCTGTTGTCACCATGCGGAGCACCTCAATTGCAGCCGTTCCCATTTTCCAGTGTATACCCATTGTATATATAGGATCCTGTTGTGATGGTAGCGTTATCAATATCCTTTCATACTTTACGATTTTAGCTATGTCCATTTCAATGATGTGGAGGCTCATATCAACAAATACAAGTAGTATCTTCACAGTTTCACATTCTCAATGGGAGGTAGCGCATGTGCATTCAGTATCCTACGGCTTACCTTCACTTTAAGGATAGGGACAACCGTTGACGGAAGTTGTGAACCTTTTCCATTATCTTCCGAACTCAGAAGTTGAATACCGTTGCGGTATTTCATGAATCCAGGAGGCCAATCACGGGTGATTTAGGGGATAATATGTCGCAAACCAACATCCTGTAACCAACCCTTGTATTATAGTGAGTAGAAAAAGACCAATTATGGTAAAATCCTAGATGGGATCTCTGTTCTTATGGGGTAATAGAGTAGGATAGAGCAAGTCAGAGTAGAGCAGAGTAAGACAGAGCAAAATAGAGTAAGTTAGAATAGAATAGAAAAGGAAAGGAAGATATTAGATTATATGAATTATTAGAATTTCCTATATATCTAATCATTTTTTTTATAGTTCTTTAATTATTAATCTAAGATTATTCTTTTAAATATAATGAAAAGATTTTAAGTTTCTTTAATAAATAAGATTTAATTAATTATTGGATCTATTATTAATATTATTATTTTTAAATTAAGATATCTTAGATTAGCTAATTTAATAATAATTATACTTCTTTAAGATATAGGTTTATTATATTTTGATAATTCTTTAATCAATATTAATATTAGATTAAAAAATGATATAAATTATTTATAGGATATCCTTTTATTATTATTAGTTAAATCTTTTTTTATTTTATTAATTTTTAAAGATAAAATAGAAAATCTTTATGTTTTTTAAGAGTTATTTTTTAAGGAATATCATAATTAAATATAGAATAAACTAATAGATCCTAATCTGGAAAGTAAAGAAGAATTAAATAAGAAAGAATTTTAAAATAAAGATCTAAATGATTTATAATAATTTAGTCCATTATTACCTAGAATATCTATATGTATTTATACTATTTAAAATCTATTATTAATAAAGAAAATATTTCAATTTATTAATAGGATGATGTTTCTTAAAATATGTTTACAAGCCTTAGAATTAGAGGCTTAAGAAGAAATCAATGTCAAAATAAGAAAAAATAACTAGGAAAAAGAAGAAACTTTTAATTAATAAATTAAGATAATGGTTATCTTTAAGAAAATTAAAAGGTTTAAAAAGGAATTAATATTAAAAGAAATTAGATTAGGGAAGGTCCTTAAAAGATCCTCATTAGGAACCTTTTAATAGTTAATATTCTTTTAATAATTAATATTTTTTTAGCTTTTAGTACCTCTTGGATTACTAGATGATGATAATAATAAGGATAAGAGAGATAAAAAAAAAAAGAAAGGTAAAAGATCTTAATTAAAAAAGAAAAAAATAATAATCTTTTTTTTATTTATTAAAAGATATAAGTTAATAGATTTATTAATTTATAATAAAATTTTAGACATTAAAGATTAGCTTATATATATAAAACTTTATTTATTTTTATATAATTTCAATCTATTCTAAAAAACCATTTCAATATTATCAAAAAAGAATCAGAAAAATCTTAATATATTTTTAAATTATATAAACATTTTGAAAACAAAATATAAATAATGTTTAATAAATTATTTAAAAAAGAGGAGGCATAGAAAACCATTTATTACCTTAAATAAAAAAATAGATTATGTTTTATATAATAAAATTTAAATAATTTATAATTATAAGATAACTACTTAAAAATATATAATTTAATTATCTTTATAAAGAAATAATTACCTAGATAAAAGATAAATTCTTTAAGGAAAATTGACCTATTACCATTAATAAATATATAACTAAGATAATTCTTCATAATAATAGGTTATATAAAAAATATAATAAGAAAAAAAGAGACCCTAAGGTAATAAAGAATTAAAAAAAAAGGAAATTAATTAAGATTTAGAACCTTAATATAATTAATAATAATAAGAAATTTAAAAAAAATTTAAACGAAAATAAATACTATAATTACTAGAAGATAGAATATTATAAGAATTAATATAAGAAACCTAAGAAATAATCATAAATTTTGGAAAAGAGATTAGCTAATATAATAATAAAGATATTAAGATCTTTAACTTTAAAAATATTTGATATTATTAAAAAAAAAGAAAAAAAAGAAAACCTATCATTAAATTATGACAAAATGACTTAGTAAATAGAGATAAAAAACTTTATAAATTAAATAAATTAATTATAAGATCTTGATGTAATAGGTATAAAAGATTCTAAGAAAGAAAAAATGAATATTTTTTTAAAGGAATCTAATTTTTTTTTAAATATATAAAGATTATAAGAACCATTAGGAAACATAAGCTGGGATATAGAAAGAAAAATGGAAGAAAAAATAATATTCTTAGTATAGATTAATAACTAAAATATCTCTATTATATTACTATTAAATAAGAATATTATTCTAATATATTTTAATAAAATATAACTATATTAATAAGTAATATAAAATTGATAAGATTTTAATAATAAAAAAGGATAAAATCAAATCCTTAAACCAAAATTAATATACCATATATGATTAATTAAATAAATAAATTACTATTATTATTATCTTAATAATCTATAGGATCTAAGATATATATTTAAAAGTAATAAAAGGTAATCCTAAAAATATAGAAGATAGAATTATAAAAAAGCCCATAGAATTATCACTAAAAAATATTTAAAAGATAAGGAATACCAGTATTATTTACTATAAAAACATTTAAAGATGTAGATTATAAAAAGATAATTAAAAAAGGATAGGATTAAAAGTTTATATAATAATATTATAAAAACATATATAAGGTTATTTATATATTATTCTATAAAAAAAATAAGGTATAATTATCTTAACTAAGTATATCTAAGGATATTTAAGACAAATTATTTAATATTTAAATATTATTATAATATAAAAAAAAGATTGATTAATCTTAAAAAAAATACTATATTTGAAAAGTAAGATTATAATTCTTTAAGAAAGAATTAAATAATTAATAGATTTATTATAAAGGATAATAAGTATAATTAATAAATAATAAAATATAATAAAAAGATTATTAAAAATCTTATAAATAATATTAAATGAAGTTAAATTAACATGTTTAATAAAAAGAATATAAAAAGAATATAAATTTAATATTTTAATTAATTAACATATATGGAATATTATATCAGAAAAAAAAATGTTTTACCAAGTTAATAACATTAATAAAAGTTTTATTATTTATAATAAAGGAAAAATCAAAAGAAAAACTATAGTTTTTTCTATTTTAATTTAAGGATATTAAGAATTAATATCTTTTAATTTTATTGATATAAATTATAAATTAGTTTTAAGGAAGATATGACTTAGAATTAATAACTTAAGAATTAATTAGATATATGATTAATTTTATTAGGATAAATTAGAAAAGGATTTAGTCTTTAAGGATTAAAAAAAGGCTAACTTAAATAAATTAAAATAATAATTATAGGAACTATAAATAGGTAACCTTATAAAGAAATATTTCATATCTTTATGCCTAATAATATAATATATAGATATTAAAGAATTAAATAATTAAAAATAAATTAAAATTAAAAAAAATATATAAAAATATTTCTTAAATTATTTTAAAATAATTTAGATATAGATATAAATATATTAGAATATAGTCAATATAATCATAAAATAATATTAAAGAAAAAAGAATATCTAAAACTATACCAGGTTTATAAATTAA